ACTGCCACCGAGAGTTTCCTGGAGGGGAGGGAAGCAGGCTCCCTACCCCCCAGACTACAGTAGATATCGCCGAGCAGGGGGGTGAGGGGCAGTGCTGCAGGACCAACCCAGCAGCACCCCAGCTGCTCTGCAGCTTCCCCATGTCCGCTGCTCATCAGTTTCAGCGGCAGCGGACTTGGGGAAGCGGCGCGGAGCAGCTCCAAGCCACCGAGAGTTTCCTGGAGGGGAGGGAAGCAGGCTCCCTACCCCCCAGACTACAGTAGATATCGCCGAGCAGGGGGGTGAGGGGCAGTGCTGCAGGACCAACCCAGCAGCACCCCAGCTGCTCTGCAGCTTCCCCATGTCCGCTGCTCATCAGTTTCAGCGGCAGCGGACTTGGGGAAGCGGCGCGGAGCAGCTCCAATTGTCTGGCTGGCCAGAGCACTTCTGGGTTCCAGTTGGTGCCGGACTATCGGAAGTGCCGGACCACTGGATGCCAGACAATTGGAGTTTTACTATAGTAAGGCGAAGAGAAACTATTGTTTTCAAAGTGATTTGGTATTTATAGATAGAAGGTGCTGTAAGCATGCTGAACAACATTGTTTATCCATTGATGGGTGTGGGAATAGTTTCTGGGAATCCTTTAGGTGCTAGAACCTATCTGGCATAGCGTTTGGAGCACCTACAGGATGGTCTTTGGACTATTACAGCTGGAATGTTACCAGGTGCCCTGAAAGACAACTACACTTCTAGTGATCCCTAGGAGGAAGGAGGTGAAGGGCAGTATCTGATTTTGGTTATACTTTTCTGAATGCTTAGAATCACTGATGACAGCTGATTTCTGTGGCTTCTCTTACATTATATAAGCTCTCTCAGCAGCAGAACAAGCTGTTATACTCACACTATACATGGAAACATTATATGCAAAGAAGGAAACATAACACACATATCCAAAACTTTATTGGGTGAGGTGGAAGGCCAAGTGGCCAAATTGTTCTCTTAAGATTCAACTACAGCATTGGTCTTCCTTCTATTCCCTCTCTGACATCCAGAAGCTACTTTGATAGTGTATTTTTCTCCCCCAGGGAGATAAGCTTCAAAGAGCAGAGACTCTCTTCTCACCCCTTCCTGGGACATCATCAGGGACATGAATTCTATGATAGCTGACCTCAATCCACGAGGAGGGGACACTGTACATTCTAATTACTTGTGTGATGTGGCCTTGTGCTTTGTTTCAGTCCTACTACTGGGGTGGGGCTTCCTCTTTTTCCTCTGTCTTCTTCCACAGGCCTGTTAATTTTTCTACCAGCTGTTCTGCCAGCACACTCATTTTAGAGGTCTCCTTTATCAGAAAGTTCCTGTAGAAGACAGTAACACATCAGTAAAGTACTTCTCTGTTGTATATATTCATAAGGCTGCCATTTATCCAGGACAAATTAGTCCTGGCAAATTAGACCATTAGTATGGATGTGGGAATTCTGAACAAATCTGAAGGCGGCAAGATAGGTATGTAGCTGTGAGTAACTCTATGGAACTGTGTCTTTCCCAGTGTTCATGCTTCTTGTTTCTGTCTGCCATCCTCTATTACCTGAGCAATAGCTACCTGAGGAATCTCATGTGTCATTGGGCATGATTTACATTCTGGTATTTCCTTCCAGCATCACAGTTCTCAGTGCCTCTTAAGATAGTACTAGTTCATCTGCATCCAGACATGTCCACTGCAGCTGAACAAACAAATGTAGGTATGCAACAGAGGAGAAATACGCCCTCCTATATGGGGTTCATAATGCTTACTCTGTGATGGGTGGTTCTGTTTGTTGTTCTAAAATGTGTCTATGATGTGATTAATCTTCCCTATTCCCTGTTAAATCAGCCCACCAATAAAGGAAGCCTTTTCGTACCTGGTCTCAAGGATTACTGGCATCTGAAAAGCTTCTGCCAAGAACTGACCAACTTTTGGGGACACTTTGTTCACATATTGGAACACGTAAAATGCAATTGAATCCGGTATAATCAGCCAGTCACGACGGACGTGTCTCTTTGTGATAGCCTTAGCACCCACTTCTGAGGAAGAGGCGGAGGAAGAGAATATTAAGCATTGTTAATCGCCATTTTCAGTGATAACACTGAGCTCCCCCAAGAGCTGCACTGGAAAGAGACAGACTAAAAGAAGCAAAATGCAGGACAATGTAGACTAAAAGACTGTATCTATCTACTTAACTTTCAATAGAGGTGCAAACAGCTCTTTCTGTAGATCCTGTGTCAGGAAGGATACTATCAATTGACTTTGATTCTTATCTGCTTCATTTTGACTACCCACTCTTCAGATAAAACAAAAAACAGGACTATGTAGCACTTTTAAAGACCAACAAGATGATTTATTAGGTCAAGAGCTTTCGTGGGCCAGACCCACTTCCTCAGATCAAATAGTGGAATCAGATACTCACTGATTCCCTTAACCCCCCATTTTCTATACCCTCTGCTCCCCCTATTTATTTTGGGTCTGCACATCCTAAACTCAGAACTCTGGTCATCTGAAGAAGTGGGCTGTGCCCACGAAAGCTCATGATACCATCTACATGTTTTGTTAGTCTATAAAGTGATATCAGACCATTTGTTGGTTTTTTAAAAGACTGCAATAAGATTCAAAATCTTAGCAGGATTCCCCTCTGTGTATGTGTGTGTATTCCAAGGTCAGAGTGTAGGATCCACAAACTAGAAAACTCTAGGCTACAAACCTTCAGTCTTTAGAAGCTGCAGAAAGGGAAGCAGCAGAGCCAGCACTCACATACCTGTGCATGCAGTGGAGTGTGTACACCAGAGCACAGTGCTGAGATAGCCCTGTGTATGGGAGGATGCATTATTCACTAGATTCACGCTCCCACTCACAATGGACATTCATGCATTAATCCTAGCTCATGACAGGGAGGAAAGCAGGTTAAGTGCACATAAAGCTGAAGCACGTGCCGTCCCCACCAGCCCGAAAGGTTTTAAGATTTACCAGAGAGACTGGTGCTGAGGAGCAGAATCAGAGCCACTGCCAAAGTCCTGGACTGAAGCATTGTTTGTTCCACGAAGTATCCTCAGAAAGCAGCCAGAGCACAAAAAGCTTTGATATTGAATAGAGAACAGCATATCCCCAATTAACAACCGGCAACAAGTCAAAGAGATACACCAAGATCATTCTTCTTGCTTTATATCCTTTACATCAGCGGGCACCATACAGTAGATTGGGATCTACCAGTAGATTTTGGAGCCTCTGACAGGGGATCCTGACTGGTTTGGCCAGGAAGCTATCAAGCACTGGCACTTCTGTTATCCCTTTACCCACTGTCATGCTGCTCCTGCCTTCTGCCTTGGAGCTACCCCCTGGGAAACTCCTGCTAGCTGTGCAGAGTGTGGTGGAGACAAGGGGCGGGTGCTGATGTCAGAGTGTCCCTCCTCCCTTCACTCTGACCCTCCATCTCCATATAGAGAGAAGGGGACTGAGGGAGCTTGGCAATGCAAATCTCTGTCACTCTCATACACTGTGGCTGCATCTAGACTGGCAAGTTTTTCCGCAAAAGCAGCTGCTTTTGCACAAAAACTTGCCAGCTGTCTACACTGGCCGCTTGATTTTGCGCAAAAGCACTGACGTTCTACTGTCCAAAATCAGTGCTTCTTGTGCAAATGCTTTGACGTTCCCATTCGGGCAAAAGCCCTTTTCCGGAAGTGTTTTTGCACAAGAGAGCCAGTGTAGACAGCTAAAAACTGTTTAGCGCAAAAAAGCCCCGATGGTGAAAATGGCAATCGGGGCTTTCTTGTGCAAAACCACGTCTAGATTGGCAAGGACGCTTTTCCACAAAAAGTGCTTTTGTGGAAAAGCGTCCGTGCCAATCTAGACGCTCTTTTCCGCAAATGCTTTTAATGGAAAAACTTTTCCGTTAAAAGCATTTGTGGAAAATCATGCCAGTCTAGACGTAGCCTGTGTGTATGTGTCTTTGTCACTCTCACAAACACACTGTCCTTCATTCTCATCTCCCCATCCAACACATACGTGGGTTGTTGTTACTTCCTTTACTGCTTGCAAAGTGGGTTATTTTGGGTTTTTGACTGGTCTGTGCACTTCATATTTTTCATTTCTCTCCGATGTTTAAATTTAATTCTTTGAGTAGTGAGTTTTAAAATGCCTAACCTGTCGTGGCTGGAGTAATTATCTCTATGGTAACTGTTGCTGCTGGAAGTGGCTGGCATATCCCTGCAGCCCCTGAGAAAGGCAGAACAAGGGATCTCTATGTTCTGCCCTTGTCTGCAGACACCACTCATGCAGCTCCCATTGATCAATAACGGGGAACTGTGGCCAGTAGAAGCTGTGGGCTCAGTGCCTATAGATGAGGGGCAGCACATGGCACCATGGAGCCATTGCTGTACATGCCAACTGTTTTCAGAAGTGGTGCAGGGCCAGGGCAGGAGTAAGCCTGCCTTAATCCCACTGCTCCACCACCCGGAAGCCATCTCAGTTAAATGGTGCCAGCCAGAGGCTGCGTCCTGAACCCCTTTCCCAGCCCTGAAACCCCTCCTACACCCAACCTCCTGCTCCAGATGTGAGTCCTTCTTCACCCAAATTCCTTCCCAGAGCTTGCACCCTGAACCCCCTCCTGGACCGCAATCCCTCACCCTGGGCTAAGCCAGGAGCCCCTCCCATACTCTAAACCCTTTGGCCCAAGACTAGAGCCTGCACCCGAACCCCTTACCCCAGCCCAGTGCAAGAGGACGGGGGAAGGAAGGGAGATGGAGTAAGCGGGGAAGGCCTCGGAGAAGGGGCAGGAAGGAAGTGGGGCAAAGATATTTTGTTTGAGGTAGAGCTTACATTGCACTTAAATTGAAAAAGTGATCTTGTGGTTAAAAAGGTTTGAAAACCACTGCTTTATATCCTTAAAAGCCAAGGATTATTCAGTGCAAAAAGTTGCTTAGGGGAGCCATGTTAGTCTGTAACTGCAAAAACAATGAGTCCTGTGGCACCTTAGAGTCTAACAGGTATTTGGATATAAGTTTTCATGGGTAAAAAACACCCACAAAACCTTATGCCCAAATAAAGCTGTTACTCTTTACAGTGCCACAGGACTCCTCGATGTCAATGGAAAAAGTTAATGCAGTGTTATTTCACCTATGTGGTACCATGAATATACATAATTACTGAGAACATCCAAGACTACATTAGCTATGTTAAAACAAATTCTATCAAGAAGTTAAATGCATGTGCTTCAGGGTATGAACTAACCACTAACCTAACACAGGAGTTAGAAAGATGCTACCTGCAGGGGAAGGTTGCCTCTTAAATTGTACACTCCAACTTAGCTTCTTGACCTTCCTCTAATACAGGGGTCAGCAACCTTTTCGAAGTGGCATGCCAAGATTTAACCCTCCTGCACTGGGTTGCACCACTCTCCTGGAAGGAGGAGAAGGGCTTTCTCCCCCACACGCCCCGCTTGGTCTCCTGCCCTGGATTCCGCTCCAGCTTTTCCTGTGATGCTTTCACAGTATTTTTTTTTTTTTTTACATTGAGTGATTCATATTAAGCATAAAATAAATAAAAATAAAAGGAAACCCAAAATAAACACACTAAATCCCTTTGTCAATAATAAAGCAACTAAAACAGCAAAAATTATCATTAAAATAAAAAATAATTATAGGTATTCCTATAAAATACAAAAAATAACACTTATCTAAAAATCTTTTAAAAAACTCAAAAATGGCCACTAGCTGGGTGTGGTCTGTCTGTCTGTCTCTCTCTCTCTCTCTCTCACACACTCACACACACACACACACACACACACGTATAAAACAATAAAGCCCAACTATTAAATTCCTATTCAAGATAGGGATGTGAATGGTTAACATCACCCTTACTGAGTGATGCTTACTATTTACGGTCAGCGGGCTGCTCCAGCTCTGTGGGGCCTGGCGCGCTATAGGCAGGGCCGCATCAGCCTGACAGGATTAGCCCCCACCCTGGCAGGAGCTGCTGGGGCCGCAGTGGCCTGAAACACAGCCTCCGGCTCTGGCCCCACCCAAGGCCACCTTCAGAGTAGCTGCCATGTGACACGTGGCCTACATATGTGTGGGGAAGAGGAGGGGCTGAGCTCCTGCGGCGTGCCACTCTAAATTGGCTCACATGCCACTTATGACAGGTTGCTGACCTCGACTCTAAAATATCTGGTATCACCTACTGTCAGGGCTGGCTCTAGTTTTTTTGCCACCCCAAGCAAAAATTGTTTTGGCTGCCCCCCCCCTTTTTTGTTGGCTTTTACACATGTTTGTACTTTGTAATGTTTTGTTTTTGTCCTGGCATTGTAGCCCTATAAACAGCAAATATAATTTTAATTATTTTTATTTGCTATAAAGGCAAAGGCGCTTCAATTAAACTCCCCCTCTCCTTTCACTCGCTGCTGGGTCACAACATCCCTTTCCCTGCCCTGTCCAGCCCCTTCCTATGGACAAGCACCCCTCACTCCCAACCCACAGGGGGATCAGGGTGCAGGGACAGCGCAGAGCCAGAGGGGCATGGGGAACAGGGTTCACCGTGGGGAGTGGGAGGCGCAGAGCCAGAGGGGCGCGGGGACTGGGGGAAGCAGGAGGACTGGGGTGCGCAGAGCTAGAGGGGTGCAGGGAACAGTGTGGTGGTACAGGGGTAGCACAGGGGACAGGAGGTGCAGAGCCAGAGGGATGCAGGGATTGAGGGGAGCAGGGTGCGGATGCAAGGGAGGCACGGGGAATGGGATGTGGGGAACAGGAGGGGCAGAGGGATCAGGGTCCAGGGGCACTGTGGAGAATGGAGGGCACAGACCCAGAGGGGCCCAGGGAAAAGGGGCTGTGGAGTGCAGAGGGGGCACAGAGCCAGAGAGGCACTGGGACCGGGGTGCAGGGGCGGTGCAGGGAACAGGCGGCACAGAGCCAGAGGGGGGCAAGGATTGGGGGGGAGCAGGGGGCAGGGTGCAAGGGCGACGCAGAGCCCGAGAGTCGCAGGTAACAGGGAGAGCAGGAGGACCGGGGTGCAGGGGAGCAGGGTGCAGGGGTGGCATGGGAAACGGGTGGTGCAGAGCTGGAGGTGTGCGGGGCGGGCACAGGAAGCTGGGAGGCCGGCAGGGAGCAGTCTCTCGCCGCAGGACTGGAGTCAGCAGGGCTACAGTCTGCAGCCAGCTCCGGGAGACACGCAGCCAGAGCCCAGCTCCCGCAGCCCTTTAAAATCAGTGCACTGAATCAGTGCACCTCTTGCTCTCTTGGCCATGCCCAGCCTTTGGAAATGTCCCAACTAACTCCAGCTCCCTAGTGGGCGCAGGGATTGCAGATGGTTTTTGCCCATGCTGCACCCCTATTTCAGAGAGCATTACTGTCTTGGGGGAGGGAGCTAACCTCCTGGTTGAACCTCGGTCTGTAAGAAAAAAAATTAGGTATAAACAGCCTCCTTGCTCCACTTCATCCTGTACATTCCATATTTACACCCGCCAAAGTTTACACAGCTGGAAATGACAGACGGAAAGTTGCTCTTACCTCGCGCCCTCTCACAGTCAGAGGCAGGAGTAGAAATGCATCTGAAACACAAGCACTTATACAAAGTTAATATAGAGATAGTAAGTGGGTCAGAAGTCCGGCGTAACTCCACATTGGCTCTTTCACAACAAGGGTCAGATGAGAGGGATGGCAGGAGGTACACAGTCCCAAGTCCTGTTCAGAGTAGGATTTGGTAATGGAGGGTCAGTCCAGCTGAGTAGTTCCTGAGCCTTTAGCTTGTGTTTGCTTCATACCTTAACCTCCCCCCCTCGCCACAATTCCCACTGAGCACCTGTGCAAACAGTGACTATATTCTCCTCTTCTTATCCTATATATGTTTTAACTTCTAATGACAATAATTCAATTATTAGGTGCTTCTCTCACACATGGAAAAAGCAAAGACGATCCATTTTCAAACAAGACCTAATAAATAGACACACCATGCTACTATTAACCTCTTTTGTCAGTTATGAATTCAAAGCAGTTTACAACCAGGCTGTGTCTACACTGGGCCACTTATTCCAGAAAATCAGCCGCTTTTCCGGAATAAGCTGCGAGCTGTCTACACTGGCCCTTGAATTTCCGGAAAAGCAAAGACGCTCTACTGTACAAAATCAGCCGCTATTCCGGAAAAGCTACGCTGCTCCCGCTCAGGCATACTCTACTGTACAAAACCAGCCGCTATTCCAGAAAAACTACTCTGCTCCCGCTCGGGCATAAGTCCTTATTCCGGAACACTGTTCCGGAAAAGGGCCAGTGTAGACAGCCCAGTAGTCTTTTCCGGAAAAAAGCCCCGATCGCGAAAATGGCCATCGGGGCTCTTTTCCGGAAAAGCGCGTCTACATTGGCCACAGACGCTTTTCCGGAAAAAGGGCTTTTCCAGAAAAGCAGCCTGCCAATGTAGACGCTCCTTTTCCGGAAAAACTGAAAATGGAATAGTATTCCATTTTAAGCAGTTCCGGAAATTCATGCCAGTGTAGACACAGCCCCAGAGTAAGTATCATTGTCCTAATGGACAGACCCGTGGAAGGAAACAGAGACAGAGGGATTTATAAAGTGACTTGATTAGTATCCCATAATTTGATTAGGGTTGGCCATAAAATTCACCATTAAAAATATTTCCTGATTGAAAGTTAGGTTTTCAACAAAAACAAGGTCCACATCCTCAAAGGCAGTGAGGTGCCAATTTTTTCTGCTTTTCTTGAAAAATGTAAATGTTTCATTTGAAAACTGAAAAATTCTGGCCAACCCCCCATTTTTTCCTCATTTTGACAAAAAGTATCAAAGTTTTCCATGGGAATGATAGGGGGATGACATGTTCCAAACTGCTCTTACACTAAGATTTGTTGTAGGATGGTGATTTTCTGATTCCCATTCTTCCGATGTAAGGACTTGATTATATTTCTTGATTGAAGAAATAAGGATAGACCACAGATAAATGGCTAGAAGTTCTCATTTATTTAATTACACATTTGACAATCAAACCCCAAAAACATACAAATAAACATCAGTTACCATTTCGCAATTTTCATTGCATCACTGGCATAATAGAATGACAGTGTAGAAAAATAGTACAAGGCACACTACACTGAAGAGACTAAACAAGATGCAGAAGGACAAGGAGCTAGTCTTCCCTGTGTTAGTGCAAGATAACTTCAATGCTACCCCTAACTAAGCGGTGCTTTAAACTCAAGTTAGCTGGGGGGAAAGAAGGGGGGCAGATGTGTGTGGGTAGAAACTCAAGTGCTGCTGAGTATCAGATACTGGGTCTAATAATGCATACTTTGCATGCTGCTTGAAGGTTACTTTGCTGTGTGGCCACTCTCACTTGTGGTGAGTGAGAGCTCATGTTAACTGTAGTGAAGACAAGCTCAAAGATTGTTCCTGGACCTTTTGGCACTCTCTGTTATAGGTTGTGTGATTGCCAACATTCTACACAATTGTCCATACAAATCAGAGATTACACAAAAAGCAGCCCCTCACCCTCCATTCCTGGAATGGTGCCCTACCTAATGCCATGATAGGAGCTCTGTAAATGCATAAAATGGCCAGGCATACGGGTCCATTCTTGTTCATCAAGAATGGAAGATTTTATTCCACTCACAGATCTATAGCAAGGCAGCTGTCAGGATCAGTCTCTGTTTGCCCTGCAGGCCAGGAGAGCTTGAAATTGGAGGGTTCCATATTCATTACCCACCAAAAAGTGTCTCATAGCAGAATTACTTTGCACCCACTTCATCTCTGTTGATACAGGAAATTGCTTCTTGTATACAAGGGATATCCCTTTAACTGTGCAACAAATCCACAGTGACTAGAAACTGAATCAGCAACTAGAAAACAAAGTTATCCAGTTTACCATCTATACGCAAGTTCATTGACTTAGGAATTTGCTTCCTCTTTGTCATTATTTGAAACTTTTGTGCAAACAAACTGCACGCTGTGACTTTCCCCGACTCCATTTAACATTTGAGCTGCATGTTTCACTGTCTAAACCACATAATACAATTGCTGGTGCCTGACTGGATAATCCAAATTACTACTGTCCATGATTTAATCACAAAATTAAATTTTTCAGGATTGAAATTAGTCCACCTTCCCCCCCCCCCCCCCCCCCCCAAATTCACAGAAGTAGAAGTAAGCTCATGTGAATGTTAGCAAAAAGTGAATAGCAGGGACCCATACAAGATGGTAGTAGAATTCACAAACTATTCACAAAATAGTTTCTTCAGTCTCTTACAGAGCTGTGGGGAAAGGAAAGAAGAGAGCTCACTTCCTGAGTGTTAGGCCAAAGGCACCGGGCTATGTAATTAATACAGTCATACCATTATGGCAGGCATCACTCTTACACATAACCTTCATGTTCTCTCTCACAGGCTATGCCTACACTTATATGTTACCACAACACAGCTGCATCATTGTAGCACTTTAGTGCATCTCAGCAATAGAAGGGGTTCTCCCATCGCTCAAGTCTAGGTAACCCACATCAGCAAGGAGGAGTAACTAAATCCACCAAATTATTCTGTTGATCTAGCCAACTACTGCAAGGGTCAGGTCATCACAGCTACATTTCTATCATCAGTCATCTTAACTGTGACACTCAGGGGTGTGGTTATTTTTTCAGTGTAGGCCAGCTCTTAGCATGTGAACAATCTTAGCATGTGAACAATCTTAGCCTCTTGGGAAGATATGCTGTGTTCGGCTGGAATTATACAAGGTTTTGTGTAGAAGCAATTTTGGGGGAAAGAAGGAGATGTGCAAAAAGCAGGAGTTCACTGTCTGTCTTGAGCTCTGATTAGAATCAATTCTTGAGGCATAATTGCTCCTGGAGAGCTGGACCCTGCTCTTGGCTGACAAAGTAGGAAGAAGTTGTCCTGCTTGTTTGACCAGTTCATTTCAGAAGTGGGGTGGATGCAGCTAACGCAAATTACGCTGAACACACCCGTGATCCATATTATGGATTTCTTCCCCCTGGGAAGTCAACCTGCTCTGCCCCAGACACACAGATGCTAGAACCCCGTATATAATGGGAACCACTTCAAGCCTAGGAGTACCACCACATTCCTAGTTCTGCAAAAGCGACGAGGAGTCCTGTGGCACCTTATAGACTAACTGAAGTGTAGGAGCATAAGCTTTCGTGGGCAAAGACCCACTTCGTCAGATGGGTCATGCATGCATCTGACGAAGTGGGTCTTTGCCCACGAAAGCTTATGCTCCTACACTTCAGTTAGTCTATAAGGTGCCACAGGACTCCTCGTCGCTTTTGCAGAACTAGGAATGTGGTGGTACTCCTAGGCTTGAAGTGGTTCCCATTATATACGGGGTTTACAGTTTGGCTCAATGGCTCTCAGCACCCCCACTATACAAATTGTTCCAGCACTGCTGCCTGGACATCTGCTTCTGCTCAGCAGAGGTGCACTGCTGAGTGACAGAGCTAATGTAAAAAATCTATACCCCGAGACACAAAAGGGTGCTGACTTAATCCCTTGCATAGACTGCGCTAGGTCCACAGAAAACTGCTTCTGTTGACCTACCCCCACTGCCTCTTGGGAGTGGAATTACCTATGCCAACAGGAGAACCCCTCCTGTCACTGTAGTAAGTGTAGCACTTCAGTGCGGACAGTGGCAAAGCTCTGTCTATAGTGATTTAAAGGGTAGATGTACCCTCAGAAAGGGATACTGATGTTAAAAGAAGGGGCAACAATGCCGTTCTTTCAATTTAGTTGTCTAGCTCTTCATAACCAATACAAACCATTAGCCAGCAATACACAGAGGAAAAAAATGTATTAAAACCATCAGAAGTCCCACCACCTCATCATTAAAATCTCATCTTTAAATAAAACTTTTCACAGATCCAGCCTAGATTCCACAGTCTCGTCATCTTTCTCTTTTGTATGGGGGCCGGAGCCCTCATCCTTGTGCTCTTGCTGCAGTGGCTCACAGTGGACATACAGAAAAATCATCTCTAACAAACTTGGGCAGTCCCTGCTATGTCCATCAGAGGTCTCAAGAAGAACTTGGTTACACAAGCGGTGTACAACCTGTGGGCTTATGGTTGTCTTCTTGGGGGGGGGGTCGCAGCGCTGGGCCAGCCACCATTTTATTTTCCTGGCTCAGCACCTGATGTACGCTTGGTGGGGGGAGTGGCAGGGGAGTGTACTGGCGCTTTAAATTAAAGGGGCTGCAACAAAATGTCCCTGTTGCTTTTTTTTTTCCCTCAAAAAATGTTCCCGTGAATTAAAAAAGGTTGAGCACCACTGGGTTACACACATGTGAGGCTGTGGAACAGACCCAGAAGCAACACCAGGCTTGGGAGCATCATCTTCAAATTCTATATGGAGCTAGCTATTTGAGGTGTCAGCCATCTGTGATTCAGCCCAGCAAGTTGCACCCTCACCCTCCATGCCCAAGCCAGAGAAGAGAGGAGTTTGTTGCAGTCTCCTGTTATACTGGCAGGTTCTTGATCTCAAACTCTTTGCTCTAATGATCCCTGTTTCAATCTCTGTTGTGCTAGCCAAGATGGTGGCTATTCCACAACATGTTCCATCAGCTGTTGGCCTTGGACTCCAACCCTTTCAGGACAATGCAGGAGGGAGAAAGTACCTCTTACAGAACAATAAGAGGGAGCTAGATGTTCAACCTTGGCAGCCATTTTGAGAGAGGAATCAAGAAAGAGCACTAGTTCCCAGGGAATTGTAAGAGTTTGACTTTGGCCACAGTGGCTCCTGCTTCCCAAACAGCCCTTCAAAATCCATTAGCAACCACTGTTCCGGCCATGCTAGGACTGGTAGGGTAGGATACTCAGAGAAAGCACTCCTACCACAATGTTGCAGTACTGCCCAAGTGTAAGCAAAGTGAAAACTCACAACCACAAAGAATATCCTCTAAGTAGCGACCCCACTCCATTGATACTTGCACCAGTGCTAGCCATTAGTTCATTTATCTGGTTTACATATAGCCCCAAGAAGGAAGAAAAAGCCCTTAATTGATATGCATTTCAGAGGGAGTGCCCTGCAAATGCGCAAGAAAAGGCCATTTTCAAAAGTCATGCCTGTAAACTAGTTTTCCGACAGAAATGCCAGGCACTCCAGTGATCACTTTAAAAATCCTGTAGACAGCAATCCTATGCCAACTGAAAAATGGACTGGATGAAGAAAGAATAGGTCTTGAGTAACCTTTAGGTGTTGTGAATTACAAAACTCAGTATACAAGCCATTCCCAAAGCTCTACACAAAGAGCTGAGCCCTACATCCAGCAGTTCAAAAAGTGCCTTTAGAAAGCAGCTTTACCATAGAAAGAAGAGGCCTCTGATCAAAAAAATCCAGAGAAAAGGATTCTTTTGTCTCCTCTCTTGCAACACAAGCAAGAAAAAAAAACGAACTTGCTTGTCTGTCTATTGCAATTGGTTTCCAAAGGAATTTCTTTCTTTGCTTTCAGTTCACGAATAATTTACAGGCAGGCACTTAATCCAATAGTAACCAAACCACAGATGTGTTGAGGAACAAGTTTAGGAAAAATGCAATGTTCAGAGTAAAGATCAGCTCCCTAACTGTCATGTTAGGAAGGGAACAGCTTAGCAAAGCAGAGGATAAGAATAGTCTCCTAGAGCCTGTTTCCCCCATACACACACCACAGGAGGACAGAGGCCAAGGAGGAAAGCAGTGCATGTGAGATGTTAGGAAAAGGGTAGATTCCTCAAAAAATACCCAGAGCAGTAAAGATTTTCCGGTGTGATAGTGTATTGTAAACAACCACTTATTAATCACTGCAAACATTCTGACCTTTGGTGCTGAATCTTATGACCACATGCACAACATTCAAATTCAGAGAGGGAGGAAATGCTGTTTGCTCAGTACCACCAGAAACTGTACTCTTATCAAAGGGACGACTTTCAACAACCACCACCGTCTGTTTGAAACCCAAGTCTCCAGGGCAAGGAAGGAAATACAAGGTTTTCAGATAATGTGATAAAGCCACTGTTCTCCTGGATCCCTACACATAGATTCCTCACTGGTCTCCACTACGTTTTACTTTATCCAGTTGCTGAAGGTCTCCTGTTCAGTCAGAAGTAGCCACCCCAAATCACCTATAGGGAGGGCAAAACGGAGCCTCAAAGCAGAACCATTGAGAGTTTCAGTCCTTCTGCCATGTGCTAAATGACCATGCTTCTTCCACTGCGGGAACTTCCTTTTCTCTGCAGGAGAAAATTAAGACAGAATCAGCAGTGGGGGGGGGGGGGGGGGGGGGC